CTAGCCTTGAGCCAAGTGCGTAAAATTTATCATGAAAGTAAAAATATCGATTCAGTTTTAAACTTAAATCGTTTCTGTATTAAGCTATTTTCTGTTATATCACCAACGTTTTTAATAAACAAAAAAACCTCTTTAATCAACAGAAACTCTAAATTAAGAAATCAACAAATATTTTTTCCAGTTTTGTTGTCTATGCATTTCATTTTATACTTTCAGTACATAGACTAACAACAATATTAGGTTATACTTTTCCTGCTGAGGGACATAACATAAAAGTCATTATTGGAACGTAGTGTTACCCAAACGCACTGGTTTTTCTATATATTAGAAGTTGTTAATCTAACTTATTGTTACCACTAATTATCCTTTGAATATTCCACAAATTCATTTCATGAATGATCTTAATTTTGATTGGCTCACAAATGAATTTACCGACGTTTGACTGCCTCGACTGCACTTTTCTGCCTCTTTGTTGGTCAAGCTTGAATTCGTAATATTTATATATTTCAGTTAGCTATGAAATGTGAGGTTAGGATATACTGTGGGATGGGGTTGGTAGTACTCGCCCCGTTATTTGTGACGGGCTATATGCTAGTTAGTATATTAAAAAGGGTTGGTTGGTTGTTGTTAAACACAAAGCTACACAACAGGCTATCTGTGCTCTGTCCACCATGGGTATCATTCTAAGCCTCAATATTAAAAAGGGGATAAACTGATGAATACATTACATGCTTGGTTGCTATTACCAGTAAAAGGCACTTGTAACCATGAACGTTTGTACCGAAGTTATGTGAAACTACATATTACTTACATTGTCCTTTTCCACAAAGTTATGCTAAACACTAAGTTAGAAGAAGTTATATATTTAACTTACACAAGAAGATTGTCTAAGCCACTAATTTCCATTTTACTGGCAGACACATATAATACCTTATATTATTTAATACAGTAAATTGTCATGACTAGCATTTCTACAGAATATTTTTCGGTATCACAACCAGGACAGACCAAAGTTAATCCTACAAGTCTTGTCGAGAAAAAGGGCACCAGAGAAACGTGTGGATTGTATTTACACTTTCTAAAACTATCCTAATTTTTTATCCCTGAATTATTTTGTGATAGCTCTGACCAAATAAGTAACCTTTCATAGTTAATTAAACATTGATGTAATATTACTCTATTTTAACTGGTATTTTACACGCGTATAATCACTACTATCTTCCAAGTTTGAAGTTTAAAATCATAGATAAGTCCCCCTCATAATATTTCAACAGAAACAATGGTCACGAACAAGTATAAGAAACAACGTGAACGAACATATCACATGGAAAGTGGGATAAAAGCAACACCAGTGGCTGTCTCCTAATTTCATATATACATTTTACTTTTTTTTTCATCTCCAAAAATAAATCGGCAAATTAATAAAAACACGCACCTGTTGGATTCTGAACATTTCATTTCACTCAAGAAATTCAATATAAAATTATTATTTTTTTAAACAATAAACAGAGTATTTCAGCTTATGTAATTCACACGAATTAAATCTTACTTAATGCATGTAATGTTAAAAGTTTCAACTTTATACTGTCAATAACTCTGTAACAAAATGTTGACTCACAATCCTTCAGTCATGAATAACAGTCTAGTACGTCACACCATCTGTTTATAACATATGTTTTTATATATATATATATTTGCTCTACTGTTTATTATGCAAAATTTTATAAATGAAAAAAACTATGGCAATAAAAGATCTGAGCACAAATGTTTCTCCAACATTTATAGTTTTACAAAAAACAAAATGGTTCCTTCAATGAACATGTTAGATTGACATCAACGTGGTATAAGAGCAGCACATCTAACTGTCTTTTAACAGAAACACTCCCACTAACAGGAGCTACTTCTGAAACTCAACTTTGTATTTTCGGTTAACAGATCTTCACATGAATGATGGCTCCAAATGTTGGAAGTGTACTGTTTCTGTAGCTGTTCCAAGGCTGATGTCAGTTCTAGATTAGCAGCATCTAAAAGCTGAATCCTTCTTTCTTGGGCATCAATTACTTTTTGTCTATTAGCAATGATTCCCCGCATTTCTTGGTGCTCGTGACGGAGTTCTTCCTCTACCCTGATTAATCTGTAAAAATAACTGGATTATTAATAATTGGACTGTAATTCTTTTTTTTTCTTTTCTTGCTAATGACTGCACTCTATGAGTTTCATAAAGATTTAATTTAGTTTGGGTTTCAACACAAAATACAGTGTAGCCCCGTTATAACGCGATCGTTGAGGTCCATAAAATGTCATCGCGAAACAAGCGGGGTTCAAGAAAATCACTGTTCAAGCTGACTCAATGTTAAACGTTATTAGTATGTAAACTATAACGAGGTTATGGTTACGAGGTCGGTCCCAGGTACCGATCCCGTGTCGAAAGAGTTA